GTACGCAAGATACGGTTGGCCGTCTTTGATCACTGGGTCTCACGCACCATTATACGCATCTGGTGGGAACAGGGTGAGCAATGCTGAGGTCCGCCAGTTGTTTTTTCACAAGAAACTCTCCGGTGCCTCACTTCAGTGTCTCTTGAAGTTGAATCGCTAACGTTGATTAGGTCATGTACTTCGTACACTAGTTAACCGCCTTTCTCGGCGAGCATTATACGTCGTCATTGCACCAAGTTGGGCGTAACACAGCTGTTCAGTCGATGACGTGGCATAGAGGTATGAAGAAATTGACCGAGAGACTTCGTCAAGCAGGCAAGTGCTGTCTTCGTAAATGGGAGCCTCATGCTAGTCCGAACCAATGCTTAGGGACTCTATCGGACGTGGCGCATTGTCGGAGTCAGTGCTTCCCCTAGCTTCGTTCGCTTGCATGTAGCTGTTCATACCCGCAGCAGTTGCGCACCACGTGTACGTCCGTCCGCCAACGCGATGTCCATTTATTTTTACCACAGTAGACCCTGTACGTAACAGTAACTTCAGTGCTACGGCTAAACACCGGTCAGTACAGAGGCCGTAGGCATTCCGTTTTCAGCGAAACATTCTGTCCTCAAACACTGTCCAGAATGTATCGATCGTTCAGGTATCACTAGTCTGCGCCTCATCACGTGAGGCGCTGTGCAAGTTGGGATACGCAGACGCCGCACTTGCGTGCGTAGTGCATCGTGTGAGATCCGATCGGATCGCCGGACTGCTGTTAGAATTCCTCGGGGTTTTCTCAGGGCGCACAATGTGCGGCAATTTACGGTGCGTCCATGACAATTAATAGACACATCCTGGTCGACGCTTACAGCAAGTGGCCCGAAGTGTCCCTCATGACCAGCGCGAAAACTAGCGCAACAGTCTCGAGGTTGCGAGAAATCTCCAGCAGGTTCGGCTGCCCTGAAAGATTGGTGACAGACAATGGAGCACAGCTGTCCGGAAAAGCACCAGACGGCCGTTTCGCCCTATTGGGGCTCATCAGTGGTGCGCATCCTTCGGTCCTCTCTGGAGGATCGAACCCATGACTGCTAGTGGCTCTTGCCAACTAGCCCGCAGCTTATGCAACTGCGCCATGGAGGACGGTATCTGACTATCGTGAATTGTTAGCTAAATGCGATATAGCCCGACGCATCCTCCACTGCCATGCAAGCACCTGCCATGCAGATGACAGCGGTCGGCCTTCCGGCGTCAGGACTTCCCGGTTACGGCAGCTATGAATCGACATAGCATTTTGTGGAATCCGTACGGGCGAATTAGTATTACGATAGTCAGATACCGTCCTCCATGTCGCAGTTGCATAAGCTGCGGGCTAGTTGGCAAGAGCCACTAGCGGTCATGGGTTCGATCCTCCACAGAGGACCGAAGGATGCGCACCACTGATGAGCCCCAATAGGGCGAAACGGCCGTCTGGTGCTTTTCCGGACAGCTGGTCGACATATCTGAATTGTCGGCTAATTGCGACGAACAAAAGTACTCACCAAAATCCTTCCATTCATAAGTAATGGAGCACAGTTTACTTCGGCCACATTCACGGAGTTCTACCAGCACTGCGTTTTAAAACACTTGCGGTCCCCACCATTCCATCCACAATCGAACGGCCAAGCGGGGAGGTTTATGGATACATTCAAACGCGCTCTCCTCTGATCAAGGAGGGAGGGAGACATAGTGGAGGTGATCGACCGCTTCCTCTTTCTGTACCGATCTACACAAAATTCACAAACGCCGGGTGGAATATCACCAGCGGAGGCAATGGTGAAGAGAAAACTTCGCATGCCATTTGATGCAGTTCGGCCGTCCTCAGATGCCACAGCTGGTGAAAGGTGCCTCAAGATGGAACATGACTCTAATCGGCGGTATGGTGCTAAGCGACGTTCGTTTAAACCGGGTTTGCCAGTACTTGTACTTGATTACCGGGATGGCCACTCAAAATGGACGTCGGGCACAATCTATAGTAAGCGCGGGAACATCAATTACAACGTGCTGGTTGGAACGCACGTATGGGTACGCCATGCAAACCAACTGCGACCAACAATGTGTCAGCCACAGGCAACAGCATCCCCGGAGCTTCCATTTGACCTGTTGACGGACAGCTTCAATTTGCCTAAAGAGCCGGTAGAAGAATCCTGTCATCAGACGAATGATACCAGACCGCAGAGCACGGAATTTTAATCCAAAACACTACAGCCAAGGCGATGGACCAATAGGCGTAGAACCCCTTCCAGGAGGCTTCAAGTCAATCCCAGGCTATCATACACCGCCGTTTCAGAAGAGGAGTTATCGGGGAAAAGGTAAACATAAAGGAAAACCATTATTTTAGCAATTAATCGTTTATCTTCGATCGTGCACTGATTTCGAAGTTTTTGTAACCTTCCATTTCTTCACGTGATCGCTAGCATACAGTGTTTTGGCAGGGAACCTACTATTTTTACCAGTTGACCTTCGTTTTCTAGAAGCCGAGGGTCATTGAGTCCCCTATATATTTTGCCTAGGCCTGGCGTAGTGGTACAGCGTTTTGGTGGCATCTTTGGCTACGTTGACAGCGTTTCTGTTAACACGTTTTCCGTGGTCAAAATCGTGGGACTTTCGATTTTTCTTCGGCTGGGCTAGAATTTTCGCGGAGAAATTTTTGGGTGTTTAATTCGGAATAGCGAGAAAACGTGAAGATCTAACAGAGCGTACACCGTGTTGGCCGCCCACATGCAGTTCATCAGTGGATAATTTTCAGATCCCCCGCCAGCACAACTGTGTCCGTGCTTCTTCTGTGGCGAAGGAGCTCGTTCACTTGGCGATAGAAGTCGTCTTTTACCGAATCATCGCTAGAGTTTGTGGGTTCATAGACAGCGATGACGAATAGATACCCGTTAGTCCCGCGTGACCTCGAAGCTTTGAACGAGCCAACCAATCGGACCACACACAACCGGCTACTGATTGGAATCCAATCAGTCTGGGGACTCGGGGCAATACCAACACCGGCTTGGCCGGTGCTCGAAGCTGCATCGTCACCGGATAGGCGCAACGAGAAAGTGCTGCTAGTGTCACCTGAAGGGGTTCGCAGAGTGAGTACAGAGCTCGAGTCTTGCAGGCGAGTCTCTGATAAGCAGCAGATATCGATGGAGAGGGTCTCCAATGTTCGGGCAAGTGCTGCCTGTTGACCGATTTGTAGCAGTGTGCGTACATTGAGGCATGCCAATCTGAAGGAGGATCGAGGGCTCTAAATGGAAGCCGATGTACTGGGCTTGGCCGCTTGCTTGGACATGGGCTTGTCGACAGGACAGGAATGACGCTCCGCGTTCACAAGTGAGTTGAAAGTAGAAGGTAAAAGCCTAACAAAGCAAGGTGGGAGAGGGCCGAGAATTGGGGGTTGAAAACTCGGGGGATAAAAGTGAAGCTGGAACGGGACGGTAAGCGAAAAAGCGTAAGAGAGGGAATAAGAAGATGGATAGGCTTGAGCAGTAGCATCCAAATCCCTATCCACCCTGCTCGATGCAGCAGATAGGGCACCGTTGATTGTCCTCTGCGGTGGCCAGAGTATCAGGAAACTGTTTGAGAAAGAACGATTCATTGTATTGCGTGGGCAGGATACTGTCAGGTTGCCCAGGCCTAGACAGGAGAACGATTAGGGTTCTCAACCAAAGCCTTTGGTTCAAAAACCTTGCAGCAAGGCAGCGGGTTTGGCGTTGGGCTACAAGGAGTCCGTTTTAAGGAAAAGGAGCCACCCTCATTCCAACCCCAACCTGGAGGACCAGGAGGCTGTTTGTCTGGCCTCTAACCATCGACCAATCTTGTATGAGTGACTCTGAAGATGCAAGAAAGCACCACCCAGCATAGCTCAGTGGATCTCTGAGGCACGCAAACCATCGCACCACGGTAAGGTCCGTTATCATTGCGATGACCATAGTTCTTACTTTCGTTGTTCTTTTAAACTGGTGTCGCAAGGACGTCCTCTAGCTGAGAGGTTACTTACTTTACCCATGCACTCCCCTGAAGTAACTGAACACTCAGACCCCCGAGTGTCCGTTGCACTTTGGCATTTCCTGCCGTATCCCAGCGGCACCGGCGGGGTTGTTACTTAGGACATACTCAAGTATCGTGTGCACTTCCATTGATCCAGCGGTGTTGTCTAGTCCGTTTTTCACATTGAGTTGTTGCATCCCGCTTGTCGTCTCAATCAACCTTTGATTTGTTGTTAAGGGAATCCTGAACCGTCTACACGGCATCTGTGCTATATTCGCAGTTTCCAACAGTCATCAATGGTTATATGAGGAGTTATGGACTACAAGAACCGTGGAACGCCTTATTGTGTACGTCTTCAGCTTACAGTCCAATCTTTTTGTCCAATCTCCCCTTACTCCTTTGCGTCTTATTGTCTGTGTGGTCCATTGTCATCTCGCCCATATATTCTAATAAAATTCAGCACGAGACCTCTGTTCACTTTTCTGACTTAGCGTGTAACCATTAAAGGATCAAAGTGAAGTGATATCACTGATTTTATAACAGCTCGGGCACACCACTGGCACAGTTTGATAGTCAAAAGAGATTGCTCCCCGATCCGCCTCGGATCACTGATTCCCTACATCTCCCCGGGAATCACGCGTTCAACGGGCATGAACACTGTGGGGCACGTCCTTGATTGCCTCCACGAGCTACCACATCCAGGAACTGTGCTAGAAACGGCGCCTTCAAAGTCATATTTTGTTGGTCCGATGGATGGGCTATTGTCTAATAATGCCTGTCTTTAGGTCACTGGCCCCATTACATCTCAGTCATACCACTTCACTTTTTGGAATCACGGCGCCCAGTGGCTGCTGACAAGGGCACGATCACTTGTCTGCGCCTGTTATTGTACATTCATTGCCACATTAAGAGGCTCCATCGAGTGAGTTACTTGACTGTGCTTGTTAGCTGCCGTAACATACACTATTGTCTTCGTTGTATCAAGGTTGCCTCCCACCTCTTTCTAGGCCACGATGGCTGCAAATCGCATATCGAACATTTTGAAGGTGAACCGTGAAAATGATCATCTAATTGCCGAATACGAAACACTGTCAAGCAATTTATTACGCTGGATCTTGCTCAAACTGAAATACTTTTCAGTGAGTTTTGTGTTCATTATTATATACTTTTCTTCACAATCTCTGATGTCGTTCTGTTCGATGGTTAAACATCTTTTGAGTAATTTCCCCTAAGTACCACAATCATTTGGAATCAAGTGCTGTCTAACACTCTTGTTGCTATCCTTTCTCTAACTGGCTTTGTGCCTCCTGACTAGCAAATCACCCTAGTGCATTCGATTTTCAAACATAAACGCACCCTGCCTGTGCTAAATATTTTTCGCTTTTAACGTGCCTCTAGGTTTTGAGCGGTGAGGAACAACTTGAATGATTACACAAGTTTATGCGTCTTTTATTTATGGTTTCCCACACACCTTCCCCTGGAACGTTATAGTTCCCTTAACTCGTGATTGGATCATAGGTAGCTCTCCAAAAGCCCCCTAACCGTTATCGGATAGCAGCAACCGAGTCTTCACCGAATCGCTGCATTTAGGTCCCATAATTATTACTTAACCGAGTACCAAACCGTCTTCTCCGGTGGGAGGCCAGTTGCTACATTACTACTTTGCGAGGATAGTTTATGCCCGTCAAACTATCAACTCAAGGTTTCTTAGATAAAAGGGGTTGACGGACTCCAACCATCGCTCGATAGAGTGAGGATAGCAATAACTCAGCCAGTATTGCAGGGAGAGTACACGTCATAATGTATCACAGGATAATAGGGTACTCCACGTACCAGCTCCATCCCCTGCTTGCATTTACCAGTCTTCGTCTTCTTACTGCGCTTTTCAAATTACTAAAGGAAACTAACTGTTTCAAAAATCCAATGTGCCGACAATTAGAAAACGTATTTCCTACCGAAATGATAAAATTTACCGAATGGCTTCGGCTGGGCTTGTAGACGCGGCCTGTGATCTAAAACAGTCTCCTTGGTCTGCATTCCGCGTCGTCATTAAAGCGGTCAGTAACGTGCAGCATTTTGACGGAAAAAGTGCACAGTGCTAACTCGTAAACTTGGTGCCTCAATCAACCACGACAGTTTGAATAGATCAAGGTCGCACATCTTACAATTCGTGTAGTTATGCTCTAGTAACTACCATAAACGGAGAAATTACCATGCAAGTTGCAAGCTGGATATTGGGATTTATCTGTGGATCGCCACAGCTAGCACCTACGCCATCTGCTTAACACCACACTATAACCTACTTGGCAGACCTCACGTGTCTATCTAATTGATGCCCCCATTACAAAATAAATGAGTTAGCTGTACGCTGTAACAACGCTTCCCTGCCGTGCGACCACCACCAGTCGCACGCGGCTGAGTATACTGCGAGGACGTCCAATACTACGCGGATTGGAACCCACGCCGCAAGATTACGAGACAAGTTCGTTATCTCTAAGCTACGGACCAATGCCCTCATGGTTTTATTTCAATCCCCGCTGTCCCAATTGCTAGGTTTCCACTGTGCACCTTGCCCCATGGGACTCACCACAAGCCCGACATCGGTTTATTCTCACTCCGGGGGTCGGACCACATGCACACTATCTGTTCTTTCACATCTTCGCCCACATTTTCTCCGAGACAATACTCTCATCCCTCTTGCAGTTACACTAGGGACCCAGCGCATTGCATCCCTCTATGCGCTGTACAGCTATCCAATTGTGTAGGTCATTAATTATACTCATTCATATATTAGAAGTATAACAATTGCGAAGAGAACTCTTTTCGGCAATTCACTCCAAGCAAATACAATTACAAGACAGATAAATGTGACAGGTAAGCGAACCCTGGGGATGTGATTAGTTGACTCAACGAAGTCGATCTATCTTGTAATTGTATTTGCCTGAAGTGAATTGTTGAAAAGAGTTCTCTTCGCAAGTGTTATGTTTCCAATTGCATAGGACCAATAAAAGATTCGTGGGATTCGGCTCCGGGTTTTGTGATCTGGCTCTGTAGTTGCAAGTACGGTGAATTACACTTTACTTATGTGCTTGTTTATTTTGTAGAAACCCGGTTGTTTCAATACTGAACGGGTATTGTTGAAGTAAATCCGTCTTGCTTTTTACAATCTATCTTAATAATACCATACGTAACTTTCGGTCTTGTTTTGATTTGAACCGTGAATTTTACGAGTTCCTAGAGGCTCAAACGAATTTGTTGCTTCCAGCCACTAAACTTATACACGGGTAAATAATGGTGACACATTGCCCACGTGTAAATTTGTAGTTAACAAAGGTTGTGATATGATGATCTCCAACCTGCGATTTGCGAAGGGCTCCCATACGTGACACTCATTTACGTACTCCGCGCAACTAGATTTGTAATTGGGGAGTAGCTCGACAACTTCTAAGTTTGCTGCATTACAAGCCACGAACGATGGCGACGACCATCGTGACTAAGTTACTAGATGTCATATAGCTCCGCTCACTATCCACTAGCTTGCACGTTACTACCGTGATAATTGGTCCTGAAAGTATGAAACGGCCGTACGGCACTTCTCCGTGCGTGTAATGGCTGTCTGAGTTTAGATGTGATGAATTTCCACTTGTTAAAGATTTAATCAGTGTACTTCTGATCTGCGCTTAACTGAACTTCCTTTTCACACGTATGATGTCCATAAACCCAACTGGTCCTTTGCACCTGCAAGTTAGCGGGCACCTTGTACGCAACTGAGATAGGGTTTATCCATTAGTAGCTGGCGCATTCAGTCTGTTTTTTTCTCTGAAGACGAGTGTCACACCCACTATATTCCATTCGAATGAGCGTCCCTGGACGTTCCTAGTTTTTTGCATATGGGAAGTCGTTCCGCAGGTAAGACGGGCTCCCATCTTTAGAAATAGACAGAAGACCAAAGAGATTTTGGCCTTTATGAAGGCTAAATTCGTCGAAAATATCAACCGTTAATGGCACCAGATGACCTACAAACCAGGGAACTCCTTGGCATACTAAACGAGACTCATTGAAGCCAATGGTCGGTTCAGTCGCTATTGAAATTTCTCCACTCAATTTCTGATTTGCTGTTGATAACGACGGTTTGCTTCGCTCCTGGTTTCACATGAAAATTAGCTCTGCTGCTGATTTTTGACATTAGTAGTTTTTTAGTGGTGGATAGCTTTTCGACTACAAGTGGCGTTCGTCAGGGTTGTCCGATTTCCCCGTTTTTGTTCAATTTCGTCGTGGATTCTATCATGGAGTGTTCCCTTGCGGAATCTCACGATGTAGGCGTTGAAGTGCTGCCTGGTGAAAGGTTAGCTGATCTAGGTTATGCGGACGATATCGTCTTGTTGTTCGACGATGTTGAGGCGGCACAATCAACCCTGAATAGCCTATCCAGAGTGGTTCCATTATTTGGTATGCACTTCGCACCTTCAAAGTGCAAAGTGTTGCTGCAGGACCACCAGCCACTTTATGACCCCTTGACGCTTGCTAACGAGGAACTCGAGGTGGTTGATCAATGCCTTTATCTTGGCAGCTGCACCAGCAATGATGGGCGCATAGAAACTGACATCAGCTCACTCATTGCAAAGACCAGAGCTGCGTTCTTGAACCTGCGGCATCTTTGGCGACAGAAGGGAGTTTCCCTCCGTCTGAAAGACCGTGTATACAAGGCCACAGTGAGGGCCGTTCTACTCTATGTTAATGAAACATGGCCCCTTCGGTCTGAAGATCTGAGGCACCTTCAAGTTTTTGATCATCGTTGTTTGCGAAGCATTGCTGGTGTCGGATGGCTCCAGCGTGGCCGCAACGATGATGTTCGTAGGCGAGTCCCATGTAGTGATAATCATGCTAGCTCCCTAGAACAACAGATAGCACTGAATAAGTTGCGTTGGCTCATGCACGTGCTACATATGCCTGGTCACCGCTTACCTAGGAGTCCCTTGTTCAGTCTGCCAGGTGTAGGGTGGCGCAAGGCTCGCAGTGAACAGAAGTTGACTTGGCAACGGGAAATGAAGTCACTGACGACCAAACTGGGTGCCGTTGGTCCGTCTCGCCTTCCGGATTGGAGTCCACGTGACTCACCTTGTGCTTGGCTCGAGACTTTACAGGACATGGCTCGCAGTAGACAACAGTGGCGCGTCTGCTGCCGTCTCCTAATCGGATTGTCTGTTTAAAGTGTGTTTGGTTCTGAGTTATCTGCGGGGTAATGGCTGATTATGACGCGTGGCAGTGAAAGCCGGAAGCAAGCTGTCTCGCCGATGCCGCCTTATCTTTACACGATAGTCAGCTGTTTGTGATGGTATGTTGTTAACGCAAGGTGTAGGCGCCTTGACCCTGAATGTTTGCTTAGGGCACTAAGGTTTTCAGGTAAGTCCACCTTCTCTCCCTCTTCTTATTCTTTATTTCACAGGTCCTCTAAGTTGTATGGCAGCGAAGCATCAGTTCAAGTGGCTGATGTACTGTTGTTGTTGTTGTTGTTGTTGTTTTTTGTTTTTGTTGTTGTTGTTGTTGTTGTTGTTGTTGTTGTTGTTGTTGTTGTTGTTGTTGTTGTTGTTGTTGTTGTTGATCGGAAGGAAGATCATGGTATTTATCGGGGAGTCTGCTTGTTTACTTTCGTTGGAACATCGGGGTCCAGCTTTGTTACTTTTGCAGTTTGCACTGTACTCAACTCCAGCGAGAACTGCTCGACGATCTTCAGGTAGTTGGACTGATCGTGCTGAGATACAGCAGTTGATGACATGCTTGGCTAGACCACGGATTATGATATCGAACCTACGCTGTTCACTCCGAACACATCTTGGTAACTTTAATATTCTGAAATGTCAGTGCTCCTGTATTTAAAATTTACCTCTAAGGGATAGATGTCTGGGACGGCAAGTTTAACCGCAGTGGCGTTGTTGCCTAGCAACAAATGCAATGCGACATCACCATACACTAGCTCATGATTCTAAGTAAAGCAGGTTCCTTAGATTGTTTTGCCTTACTTCTTAATGTAGGTTTTTGTTTATGATGTAGTAGACAGTTTATCGAGGACTATCACCAAAGTCCCGGCTACGCGCCACATTTCAACTAGTGAAGACAAGATACGTTAACTCGTGAATTCAACTATCTTATGGCCATTTGGGCGTCGGGCCCTTCTACTTTCAGAACCAACAAAAAAGTCGAGTCATTGAGCCTCACTTTTACCCTTGTAGAAACCTTACTCCGTAAGGCTGTGTTGCGGTTGATGTGTCCCAGTCGGGTGGAACTGTCCACCTAGAACTGAGTCCTATCATCAGCTTTCTACTCTTAAGCTAGTGATGAGGAACATCAGCTATTATACCGAAGTACTTTCCTTTTACAATTAAATCTCGGATGGTGATCACCTCTCTAAATTGGCCGTTTTATTTTTCATTGCTTGTACGTTCACCATGTAAATCTTATGCATGCAGACCTCTGTATGTTGACCACTGACCCAATCCCATGAGTGGTGAACTTACGGAGGTTTTGCTATACATGATAATGAGAAATGTCAAGAAACATGCCGAAATTTGTAGTGTGCTTCCTTTTATTTTCTGCACCGGAGATTAGATCGTGATTGGAAAAGTAGGCTTAGCGAGGTGGGTGGATTAAGAAATTCGCAGCACAAATGACGTTAATGCTGGCTTTTCGCAATGTAAACAAGTGTGTGTGTGTGAGTCGGGACATGCTTACTTATGTCACGTTCGTGGTGAGAGCATTCCTTCCTATAACCAAGCCATGGGTTAATCCCCACCCATCTTCTTCCATCCAGATGCCGTTTGAGTAAATAACGTACGTTACGGGAGCCGGTGTGCTGGCATTTGTAGCACGGCCCAGCCATCGGGGCCTGATTTTTTGAAAGAATGGTGCTGAACGGTTCACTTATTATTCCTGCGCCCGAACCAAGACATCTAACGCGCTCACTGCACATGAGGTGTTCCCACCAGATGTGATCTATGGTGTGAAGGCACCGGTTGCCAAATGTATATAGCCTGTTTGTGTCCAGGTTTCGCAGCTGTATAGAAGGGTTGGACAGAGTCAAACATTGTGGACTCTATCCTTCAGGGCGAGAACAATGTCGCGCTGGCTCCACCAGTAGCGAGGATGGGCAAACGTGCCTCGACCTTCTGCTATACGGTTTGTGATCACGTTTTCTACTCCACACACACTGATACAGCTATCTAGGAGGTTAGATTTATGAACGACTTCTAGTTGATCCTCACCAAGGATCAGCGCAGGGGACGGTCTATGCGGATACTGGAGGAAAGCTTTGCACAGCTCGAAACGGTTGACAGCCTGTGCTGATTGGTATGTTATAAACATCGTCATCACACCTTAAGTCAAGAGCTCGATCACCTAGGAGCAGATTCACACCTTCGTTGTCTTGTCCAGTGAATGCACTCTCCATGATTTAGTCAGTGGCGAAGAGAAAAAGGATAACTGGAAGCATACATCTTTATCTCACACCGCTGGGAGTATTGATGGGTGGCGATAATTTGGCACAATTTTCACTCTGCCCGAGCTGCACACATAAACGCTTCCATAATATTTACCTGTTTCTCTGGCACACATTTCTTGATCAAATAGTCCCAAAAGGCATATCGACACACCGTATCGAAGGCACATTTGAGGTTGACGAACATGACTGGAGTGATTCGCAAATAGGTTTAAACAATTTACGAACAGTTCATCTAACGCTTTTCAGTGAGTGGCTGCTCAGTGTATTCCATAAGCCACGACACAGTAGCACGAAGTGTCCTGTGCTTTTACTTTGTCTTATCGGCTTGTCGGTTCAAATATCTACAGCATAATATGTTATTCACTGTCTCTGTGTTCAGATGTGGTGTGCATTTACAGGTCTCTGGCCATCAACGTTGTTCATCCACTCCCCGCTATCTATCCATTTCCGAAGTGACTAGTCGATGACCCCGTAATGACACAGCACACTGTCTGTTGTGCTGTTTAGTCAGAATCTACGATACCAACCTAACACTTCTCATTCCCTGTGATATTGACGATGATTATTCACAACTGCTTTTTTCTACGAAACCAACGGGCTTTTTTGTGCCTTTTCTCCGATCCGCAACCTGGAACTGCACCCGGTTACGGTAAATAGTGAAGGAAAGATGAATATTATGCCCCGAATATGTCATTTCAACACTTACATCATCAGTCTGAAATCCGAAAGTTTAAATTATGATGGCAAATGTGTAATTTCTTCTCCAATTAACTGCATCTTACCATACTTCGATGTTCGCATGATCGACACATGAGCATGTTACAAGCGCTAAAACGCAGCCAGGGTACTATGTCATGCGGGGAAATAGAATTTAACTTTTGTGTGCCTCCAGGGGTACGTCTGATTATTTATTTGCTATGTAGTGGCTGAAACAATCCCCTTAAATCCTGAGAACATAAACTTATGTAGGCATTAGAACATTTTTCCTGATGTTATGATAACTGTGCGACTCTGTAGCTTCTCAATCGCGGTATCGAGTTTTCTTTTTTGAATTAGACGGGGAGAATAGCAACAGAACCGTATAACCGGCGACGGAGGACGCATTCAATCATAAACGGCATTAAAACCACGGGGTGCTCGGAATATTTTTTGTTTGCGACAAAAGCATGGCCTTAAGCATTTATGAAGTGTTTCGCAAATAGTTAGACGTCTGGATACGATTTGGGACAAACAGGCACCGGCATATATGATAGTGGATGAACTGAGTGTGATTTCGTCGTCCACACACATCCTGTCTGTGCGAAAATCAGAACTGTTGCATAACTGCATTTAGAAGCGTAGTGACCAGTGGACTCTGGGGTGATGACTATCTCACAAGCACACCTACTTAATGTTTTAACATAGAAAATACTAATCTAGGGCAAGGTGGTCGGCATTTTTACATCCCGTAGACGTGGATGGTTTAGGAAGTTATCATTCAAGGGATAGTGGTCAGTGAATGAATAGTCACCAACAGTTCTATTTTCCTCCATCAAATCCTTTTCGTCCACTTGTTTGCATTGTAAGTTTGACTGTCCCATTCACGTGTTGCTTGTTTTTCTCCAACCTTTTCACCACTGTTGTGCTGGCACCTCGCTAGATTCGCTGTGGTCCATGCATCTAATCTTGCCACAGTGGTAAGGTAGGTTAATCAACTAACTGAACTCCTGTGGAATTTTTGTTGGACCTCGTCGAATTACATGTCTTGGCATTCTGTATGAACTAGATTTTTGGACAACAACAGTTTGAACACAGCAGTTCTAGTTGTTGGACATCTCACGCATGCATGAGTACTATGTGTGCACGATGCGAAGCATACCGAGCAGGTGCGCTTCAGTCGCCGACTTTCCTCTCCATCCGGTTCACCTTCGGGGCTTTTTTCCTACCTCTGCCCCCCCCCCACTATCTCGTTTGTGCCGACTGCGTCTCTCATTTGCCTCTACTCTGCACTCTTAGAGAAACTGACTCCTTCCTCAACCACCACCATCTTCCTCTGTTTCTTCACATGTCCCCTTCCAGTCGCGGGAGCCTCTGCATACGGTTTCTGAAGTGGAACGTCTTCAGGCTGAATCTAGAGTGTATCGTCGCCAGGAGAAACCCTCCAAATTACAAGAGAAAGCCCGCTTAGAGACGACGTACAACACACTCCAAACGCGTTTGCGCCTCAGCAAAAGGCCACCATATGTCCCAGCGGTTGAGAACTATCTTTCCTCGATTTCTGGACAATGGGATCAACTGGAGAAAGCGGACAAGACATACGAGGTGAGATTTTTAGCAACTCGATATCGGGTTCTGAACGTACGCGTCAGTTCTCCTGGCCACCCTCTGTATTTTACACAGTTTTGATCTGACCCGGTTAGCCTTCCGCTCGTCATTCCTTAGAAAACTTACGTGTTTCGTCTAACCAAAGCTCGTTTTCGTCAGCCTTGTCTTCTCTCAAAATTTAAGGCTTTATTTCTTCTATCCCTTGTTCTGCTTCTTCGGATTACACGGTGCATTAGCATTTATGCGTGCGGATAGATGTTTATCTTCTGACATTCATATAATATTACTTTCCATTTAAGGTCACCTTGCAGCTATACATTCGGGATGTCAGGCAGCGTCTTGACTTCGGTTCGCCCTATTCCCTGCTTTTTTCCGCCTGTGTTGAAACTTTTAGAGACAATCGTTCACTTCAGCTGGGCGTTAATTGGACAAGTCCGCTGTTCCCTCACTTTCGTGTTGTCCATTCACTGGCTGTCCGAATGCCATTACCCTATCGGGCTTCGTTCACTTGTACGCATTCCGAACTTCTCCATTAAATAAATAAATAACTATTCCTTGTCGGTGCGAGGCACAGTCCAACTAACTGGTCTGGTCAATATGTACAACGGAATCGCATGGGACGCATAATATTTCTTCGTTTTTTTTCAGGGCTATCTCCAAAACCATTTGCTTAGCTGATTTATCAATTACATTTTTCAACTACATCTTTCTACTTCTCTGAAAAGTAGAAGAAATGTTTAATATTACAGGACGAATTTAAAGAAGATAGATGTAAACGACATATAAAAACATTTTATATTTCGAAAGTGTAACATGCGGATTGTGGTTGATCTGGTCGAATTTTACAAATGAATGGTTGCAAACAGTTTCTGTTAAAGTTGTCCCAAAAATAGACGTTCCGGATCGACGCATAACTGGTGGCCGAGGTGTGTAGGAATTGACATTGACGGATGTCACGAAGCACTCGGTAGTTTTGTGCTGTTACCTCTTGACAGGAATTGTTTAAAATACGGCAAACGGTTCACTCATAAATAAATACGTGTTAATATGATCGCATAGCCGAAAAAATTCGACAAAATTTAATAGGTATATTTACTTCTATAGGTTTTGTTTTGCAGGGGTCATTGTGGCATTTTCCTGTATTGTCGCGCCGCAGGCCAGCATACGGGGTGTCAAAATGTTGAATACGGGATATATAAGATGTTGTCGATTGATACTATATCCCAAATATCTGCTAAACCGTTTTCATATGCCGTATCTTTCATGATACTTTGTCTCAGCAGTTCGGTGGTCTTTTTAATAATTAACAAGCTCCGGATCCTCTTACAAAGGGTTTCAGGTGATTTACATTCTCGCAGCTTAAACGACAGCCTGTTCCATAGGTTTGTGTAGACGTTCAGGTAAAAGTACTTGCCTGCCTGAGTTCTAGGCCTTTCTGTTTTTAGCAAATTGTGGCTGTCTCGAATGTTATAGGGCAGCCCATCTTTGAATTTCAAATCCAGCTTTGAGGCATGAACTCACTTGTGTATGATATCAAATAAGAGACAAAAATTGAGTTTCCTGCGCCTGAGCCTTACCAGGTCTAGTTTTAAGGTCTTGTAGCGCTGTTTGTAAGTGCTTCAAGAGGCCAATCCCAGCAGGCGTTTAGTAATTTACATATATATATATGTATGTATGTATATATATATATATATATATATATATATATATATAGCCACCGTTTGTTAACAGACATTGTGTCATCAGAACCGTTGCAGAAAAGAAAAATAAAGCAGATAGAAACACGAAATGCGATAAAAACATGGGACACGATTTTTTTGGCTCTACACACTCCATTTTGATTTTTCGTTTTTGTTTCGTATTTCTGTGCGCATTAAAGAGGGGGATAAAGTAGCAGAACAACATTGACGCCACTGATGTCTGTTGCAGACCATGACATTCAATGTTTCCAACCACTGAGATTCAGAATCGAATGTTCCCCAACTTAGAAGACGGACTGGCCCGACTGCCGCCAAACTTGAGGTTGCCTTCTTCATGCTCCTTCTCCACGTCATTGGCTGTCCACCGCGGCACTTTCCAATCGCTCCCTGGGAGTGCGTTCAGTAAACGATCTCCGCAAATTTTCCAATTGCTGGCAATCATCTTTTCTTGCCTTACTGTAGGACAATGCACAATAGTCCATAAGCGGTCAGGTTTTTATCTATGGAATTGTGCATTTTGAATGAATTGAATAGTTGTCCGATGCTTTGACGAGCTTTAGCAACTACATTTGCTCTCTGCTCCATAAAGTTTAGTGAACCAGAATAGTGAGGACCTAAGTCTCTTAGTGCATAGTTGCCAGGTGCGATTGTACAACGCAACGGTATGGCACTGCACTTCTCAGTTGTGAACGCCATATCACATTTGGCACATCACAGCTCAAGACTTTCAAACCAAATATAATGACGTTCGTGGTGTGGTTCGTGTCAGATGTAAACGATTTTCACGTCGTTAGCACACAGTCAGAAGACACCGTAGTGTATTGCGTCAAATATATCGTTAATATACAATGAAAAGAGTAATGGACCGATAACGCTGCCCTGAACTACGCCACTCATCACTAGGCTAAGCTGTGGAATTTGATCATTTGTTCTAGCCACCTGGGTTCCGTTTGAAAGATATGACTTGAACCGCGAGAACAATGGTTCCTTGATTCCAACTGATGTGATTTTGTCTATAAGCTTATCGTAAGATACACGATCAATTGCTTTCTACATGTTTAGGAAGAGCACTACTGATGCTTTTCCGCAGTCTGAGGAGAGAGTAAGGTTGTTGAGAAAAATAAGATGACATGTTGCACATGAACGTTTCTTCGGAAATCCATCTTGTGCGTTATTAAGCAAGCCACTTGTTTGCAGGAAATCTACCACTTTTGGGGCAGTTATTCTCTCCATCATTTACAAAATGATGGAAGTATGGCTGATTGGTCGGTACTTTCTAACGTCATGTCTGGGCCCAGATTTGTGACGTGGTACAACATTGGTTCTCTGCCACTGTAGTTACATTGAGAGCCTTTATTGAAAGAGGGAATAGATTGAGCAGAAGAAGAGGGATATCTGACCCTCTTAGTTTTAGTGTAATTGTAGGAAGGGCATCAGAACCTTCGTATCTAGATTTTTTCACGGCCCCCAGTCGTTTTTTATATCTCGGGGTGCAAAGTTCTACTTTAGAGAGTTGGTTGGAGGTTACGATGGGTAAGTCTAATGAAGAGGAATAAGTAGCTTTGCTGAAAGATAAATAAAATTGCCAGTTCAGAGCATCGGTAATGGAGATAGGGTCATGTACGACAGAGCCATTGGGAAGCGTGATAAAAGTTATTTGATTCGTCGTAGGGTTTCGACGTTTTGAGAGATCAGCTAACTTCTGCTTTTTGTTATTACGCGAAAGTGCATCACTTTCCTCCACCACTTTCCTCGAGTAGCGAAGGACATAGTACCTGGCTAAGAGTTGTTGCTGTTGTAGAACTAGTGAAAAATCCTTCCTCCATCTGTACACTTTGCGAAGGATTTACATCTTTATGGTGATTTTAGGTGGTAGGCTGTCAGCATATTTTCGATTTATAGGGCATTTACGCTTAAGCGGTGAGACCACATCCAGACAGATTTTGATGTTACTGTAGAACTCATTTGCAGTGATTTGAGGGTCAGCAATTAAGAAGAAACTGTCCTATGGGGACGATCTAATGAAATATGTAAATAACTCCCAGTCAGTGAAGACGTAGTCACGGTACGAGGTTACGGGATTGTACATGTTAACGAAGATTGGCGGCAGTGAGCTAAACGAAAGCACAGTAGCCGAGATGTTTTCCACCTCTAGCTAACATGGATAATGATGATGAAACGGAAGCACGATGAGCCTATGGTCACTGTCGGGAAACGTGCTTAGTACAATGGTGAGCTTTTCTGGTACACTGTCTGCGAAGAGGAGATCGAGGATGTGATCCTCTCCAGCTGGCGACTAGCCAGGGAAATGCACGGAGGTAGTAAACCTACCGTACTTTGTAGGTGTGTCACAAGGTGTATTTGGCATGTTGAAATGACCACCTGAGTTTGTAGTCCGCAGGATACTCAGAAGCGTAGTAAAATACATTAGTAAGTTGTTTACAGTGGCTGTATCAGAGTTTGCTGGGTTATAGACGCAGCCGATAAAACAATCGAATTGATTTATATGAGCAGAAAAGAAGATCGAGTCTTTCTACAAATGAAATAGTACCGTGTTATCCGCCGTATGCTCTTGCGTTGTCTAGCTTACTAGGCACACTCCCTATTGTACTTCGAGTTGTTCAGGCATCATTTTCATCCCCGGTGTTCTCCCAGCATAACTGACTTATGCTTTTACTCTTTCAGTGGTTGGAACATGCTCTGAGCTTACCCATCGTGGATATCTCCATTGTTTCTTTTTGGTGGTCCACTTAGGAAACGCAATCATTTTGGTTGCAATTTTTTCCACTTATACCCTCCATGCCCGTACATCGTACGGGATTGCAGCAATCCTGTATTATACAGTTCACTTCGTTCAATCCTCCTACTTTTGTCACTTTCGCCAATGGTTTATTCCGGTATTCATACACCCGTATGGTCAAACCATACATGCACACTTTCCATTTTAGGAATGGCTGTTGGAGGAACTCCAGCGCCTGCGTCGACTTGAATACCTAATAGAGAAATTCGAAATCCGCTGTTCCACACACGAGGCATGGGCCAAGGGAAAGCCACAAAGTTTGGCTTCCACAGACTATCTCAGCTGTCATCTGCCTGATTTGCGTGCTTTGATGAAGCGACACGAGGCATTCCAATCGGAGCTGTTGGCCAACGATGACCGTGTGGAACGTATCCATGCTCTTGTCGAGGAGCTGGGGTAATTTTACTTTCTATAATTACTAAAAGTGCACCAACCAAAGTCCCCATCTTAATCTGTTCTGTTCCACTGCAAAGTACCTTTGCCAAAGTGTAAGATATTGGGCTTCCTGTCTAAACCAGTTGCTTTCATCAGTTCGTCTGCTGTTGTGGATTTGAAGGTACCAAGTACTCTAAACATTAGCGCGACCAATATTTCTCACTCCTCCGTTCCATCCCCCTTTAGACCAGCGAACAGCTAGGAGTGCAAGTTATTTACTCGGACTCTTCTCTTCACGTTGATCGTTACGCCAGCCTTCGCTGTACACACAGACAAGTTGGCGGATAGTGTGGCTTCTGTATTACAGCACACTAGGCAACTTTTATCTTCATAAAAGAACGGTGTTGAACCTTGGCACCGCTTCTTGTGAGAGAACGGTGTGCTCCCTAATAAGATACTTCAACCGCGGGGTCTACCCTTCGCCATGCTAGTCGTGTCTTTTGTTTTGCTCCCAAACGATGGCTCACCATAGGTGGCTAGCTACCTATTGTGTTCGGGAGTTGCACTGATAGCTCCGTTTGCAGCTATCGAGGCAACTAATTGCGATCCACTTCAACACTGATGTCCGCACCACTTTCATCAACTATAACTATAAATTGTAAGGATGCTCCAAAGTCAGGGGACCTCACTTCGCTGTTACAAGCTAGCCCATGAATGTGCTTTCTTTGCAGAGCCAAGTGCAGCGTTCATGTGCATCAGTCTTTTGCCCTTGTGTTTAATTTTTTTACACTTAGTTTCCAATGTGGACACCTGATGCTTACGCGTCAGCTCGATCTTATCAGTACGCTTTCCGAGGCAGCTCTGATCTGTGGCATCACATTCACCCCACCTGGCCTGTATTCCTAGGATACGGCGCACCTGACTCCGCAGATGTTGAGGCAGTGTAGCCCGACCCACTAAAGTGCTCAGTCCTTCAGCGGACCCTTTTGGATTAACGGCTGTTAGGTAGTCCCAGTCGTTAAACTAGGGCACCGCGTTGTTTATCATTTCTTGGGTCGCTCCAAAGCATTTTATCAGCATTGAAATCTTTAAATGTGAGCTCTGCTTACTTGCATCCTCGCTGACTGTGAGGTGTGCGCAGTGCTCCAATGAAAAACCTCTTCTTAAAGGAGGTAAGTGGTCACTAAGACTTACTGTCACACCATTGCAGCACGTATTCGTGACTGATCCGAGGTCATACAACTTTTCTCTTCTGGACACGAACTTCAAACCTAGTATAGAGCGTGGAGTTTATGGTTGTTTCTAAACAGCCCATTCTGTGCTTCAGGTGTCTTACTTCCGTCCTCTTCGCATCGACTCCGTTCTCTTACGTAAGATTTGACAACTTGCTAGTATCTCAGCACCCGCATAAACACTTGCTATTGCCTGAACGCTGCGTTTGTTCAATTGTTGGTACCTGCGATATCCTTGTTGTGTTTGTCTCGGCACTTCGTTTCCCCCTTGTCACTTCTCCTGGGCGGTCGTCTCGCCCGTCCACCGCCGATTCTGCGCTTTGATTTTTCCCTCTGCTGTAATTCTTCTTTCAGTTACCGGCTGTCTAGACAGGTTTGATGTGCATGCATGCACGCATCATCCTGAGCGAATGCTCCACTCAACTATTCATCAGCAGTTTCTTCTCCGTTCGGCGCACCACACACGTAATTGTGTGTGCAGTGACTTCGCTTACTGCAGAACTCGATGTTGAAAAATCATCATGTTTATGATCCATCAACCTGTTCATATCCCGTATTCACTTTGTTACCAACGAAATTGCCACTGCAGAGAGTACCATCTTCGTCTTTTTGGTGGCTCGGCTCACTCCAACTTACCTCTGTAGCGCAGTTCTGACTGCATGCACCTTGAATATGCACGTCATAATTCATCACAGGGTCGATATGCATTAAATCCATTGTTTAACTTCATGCTTCTCATTGGGGCCTCATTGTGAGCTGAAAATCACTCATTCATCTCATGCATTGACCCCATGCATAATTAGTCCTCGCTCTGTTCGCTAAAATTTTCTTGGCCGCACGACGTACCCTTCCAATCCGCATGTTTCTCATCGCAGAACACATTGCCTTCTGTTTGTGCGGTTTGTATGTAACCTGTCCCTAGTGCGGGGCCATAATCTGATCTGCCATGCCCTCCCTTCAATCCAGGAACCTGCGGTATCACAACATGAAATCTGTCAACGAGCGGTATTCCTACATTTTCCGTGCGACAGAGGAGATCAAGCACTTATCAGATGTCCGCGAAAAGGAACTGGCCGTGAGTGGAATGCGTGCATTCTTACAATCTTAACTTTATCTCTTGTCTATCCCCCCATCCTCACCCAGAACATCGAACGTGAACACACTGGCTGACGCAGTAGAACGGCCAGCAGATCATCGTCAACAACAATCAACAGATGTATTACATCAGCCATTTGAACTGATGCTTCGCTGCCATACAACCATAATGACCTATGAAGTAAACACTAATAAAAGGGAGAGAAAGGGGACTTACCTGAAAACCTTAATGCCCTTAGCAAACATTCAGGGTCAAGACGCCTTCACCTTGTGTAGACAACATACCGTCACAAACAGCTGGCTATCGTACAAAAATAACGCGGCATCGGCGAGACAGCTTGTTTCCGGCTTTCACTGTCCCGCGTCATAATCAGCCATTACCCTGTAGATAACTCAGCACCAAACACACTTTAAACACACAATTCGATTAGGAGACGGCAGCAGGCGCACCATTGGTGTCTACTGCAAACCATGTCCTGTAAAGTCTCGAATCAAGCACAAGGCGAGTCACGTGGACTCTAGCTCGGAAGGCGAGACGAACCAACGGCACTCAGCTTGGTCGGCAGTAACTTAATTTCCCACTACCAAGTCAACTCCTGTCCACTGCGATCCTTGCGCCACCCTACACCTGGCAGACTGAACAAGGGACTCCTAGGTAAGCGGTGACCAGGCATATGTAGCACGTGCATGAGCCAACGCAACTTATTCAGTGTTATCTGTTGTTCTAGGGAGTTAGCATGATTATCACTACTTAGTACTCGCCTACGCACATCATCGTTGCGGCCACGCTGGAGCCATCCGACACCAGCAATGCTTCGCAGACAACGATGATCAAAGACTTGAAGGCGCCTCACATCTTCAGACCGAAAGGGCCAAGTCTCACTACCATAGAGCAGAACGGCCCTCACTGTGACCTTGTATACACGACCTTTCAGACGGAGGGAAATTCCCTTCTGTCACCAGTGATCCCTCAGGTTCAAGAACGCAGCTCTGGCTTTTGCAATGCGCGAGCTGACGTCAGTTTCTATGCGCCCATCATTGCTGATGCAGCTGCCAAGGTAAGTGAATTGATCAACCACATCGAGTTCCCCGTTAGCAAGGGTCAAGGCCTCATCAAGTGGCTGGTGGTCCTGCAGCAACACTTTGCGCTTTGAAGGTGCAAAACGCATACCAATGATGGGACCACTCTGAACAGGCTATTCAGGGTTGATTGTGTTGCCCTAACATCGTCGAAAAGCAAGACGATATCGTCCGCATAATCTAGGTCAGCTAACCTTTCACCGCGGAGCACTACGTCGTGTGATTCCGCAAGGGAACACTCCATGATAGAATCCACGAGGAACTTGAACAAAAATGGGAAATCGGACAACCCTGACGAACGCCGATTGTGGTCAGAAAGCTATCTGATAGGCCACCATAGACCCTGATGCGGCCTGTAGTATTCGAGTATAGAGCATGAAGGATATTCACATATTTCGTGGGAACACGTTTCCGCGCAAGTGTTGCGAACAGAATCGATCGACCGACTGAATCGAACGCACTCTTGAAATCGAGGAACACAGCTGTTGTCGGTCTACGGTATGCTTGGCGCTGCTCTAGCACCTGCCGCAAAGTGAATATGTCGTCTATACAGCCACGTCCTTGGCGGTAACCTGCGTGCTCTTCCCTATTCCGAGATTCCCGTTCTGCAGTGAGGCGCCGAACGAGAATCGATGCCAGTAATTTTGTCACAACTGGCGTTAGACTAATACCACCCTTGTGGTTAAAACAGTCTGTGCAACTGCCGTTCGTGCATATTGCCACTATAATCGATTCACTCCAATTAGCCGGGACACTTCCTTCCAGATACGTTCGAATAGGTGGGTCAGTGTTTTGCAGAGGACCTCGCCTCCATCCTTAAGTAGTGAGGTGGGAGGGAATCCGAGTCGGCGGCACGAAAACGATTGAAGGCTGTGATCGTGTTTCGGACCTCCGACGGAGGCTCTAAACTAACCGTCCATGGCTCGTCCTGCATACCCTGAGTAGGACAAGGTCCGGGAGCAGGGGGCCGCTGAACTGATCTTGAAAGTGTGCCACCCAACGAGCCGTACGGCTTTCTTTATTGCGTATCAGTGCGCCCGTGCTGTCTCTGATTGTCTCACTGACGCCTTGTCTCCTGAGATCAATGGTGCGAATCAGCTGGAAGAGCTTGCAGCAATTGCCTTCTGCTTCTTTTTCCTGCATTTTTTGAACCCGACTGGTGCATCATGCTTCCTTGTCAGCACGTAGCCTCCGCTTTAGTTCACACCTAATAGCCCGTCTGATCACATTGTGCTCAGAGCCAGCCGGGAGGTTTATTCTAGATTCCAACTGGTTCACCGACTTCTCGTCTATCCATTGTGCAGTGACGACTGATAGTGCCACAAGCAGATGCTCCTGCGTCGTGCATGGCGACCGAGATCCTATTCCACTGAAGCTCAGCGTCATTAGGACAAGACTGCTGAAGTTCGGTACGCAGCGCTTTTTGATAGGCTTGCCTGACCGAGAACTGAGACAATTTCTCCGTTGCCAATCGTAGGGGACGCTTGGTTCATGGAGCAACGACAGCGCACCAAGGCATGATCAGAGTCGACACAGGTACTCCAGTAAGAGCGGCAATCCAGCATGGAACCACGCCATCTGTAACTTATGGCTATGTGGTCAATTTGGGTCCATCGCTGGCCAGCTACAGGAGGACGCCAAGTGGCACTTCGGCACCCACTGTGTCTAAAAGCAGTGCTACTAAGAAACAACTGGTGCTCCGCACACAGTTGCAGCAGACGCTCACCGTTGTCAGTCCGTTCATCATCATCGTACATGGAGCATACATCAACACAAAGCATCTCTTAGGGACGCGTACCGACGGTTGTATACTGCGAACAAATAGTGATCCTTCTCTGTCCATTTATGCTGTTCCCACCTCCACCAAAATCGGTTGCCGTCCCTCTCGCTTCTAATATTGCAGCACAGTCCGGTGCATCGTTTTCAATCTAATCCTATTCGCTACTGCCGCTGTCGCTAATACCTAATCGTCAATGGCAATACACTCCACCAACTACTCTGCTAAGGGCTTGGAACGATTGTCTATTAGATCTTGAACTTTACGTGTCACTCATAAATATTCTTGGCAAATGTACATACCTGATATTTCCATACGTTGTTTAGTTGAACGGTCAGCCACAATGCTGTGTGCATTGACGTTCATGGTCAGATGACTACCATGCGATTACTCCCAGCAGAACTGTGTATTGTTCCATCGAAATTTGATCAGGCACACATTCGGTGCAACCTGATATACTCTCGCACATTTTTTCTACCTTACACCTGCGCAGTACCACGATACGTATCCGAATGCAAACTCGCCTTGGCTTTTGCGCGCTTCCTTGACACACCCACTTGTCGGGGTTGCAAGCGCTAGCTCAGGTCTTTGTGCTTGTTCGCCTGTGAATAGATCGCGCAGCATACTAGATTCACTTACAATCCGACACTTATTTTTGGATCCAGGTTCATCGTTTCCACACAACCTCGCTTTTCACTGCGTGCCACTGGGTCACTTACGAACAGCCGAAGTTTAGTTTTTTTAACTTCCATGATGAACCCATTACTCGTCTAGTTTTAATAAAATATCTCCATTATGTACGATGAATACACCCTAAGTTCTTCCTAAGCTTCGATAAGCACAGTATACGAAATTGTCGATTTCGTCAACAGTATGTCAATGACCACAACCCGGTCATATTTTAGTACCCGAATGACTTCGTGACTAGGCGGCCATCGCTTGATCTTTTTCTCGTTGAATGCACCCTAACATCCTCTTTCCGCTTGTTTGAGATAACACCTATGCATAGACTTTCTTTTGACTTCCTCTTCCTGTTTCATTGTCTGTTTCCCTCGTATTGCCTGTAAAATTATCATCTCTGCGAGCGCGGTTTTCAGGTTTGCACTTCACTTGCTTTACACAACCATTTCCTCTAGGGTTAATCACATCTTCAGCGTCCTTTCATTTTTGTTACCTGACACTATCAAGTGCCATACAGACGATTCGAATAAACTGACCTAAGGCGCTGCGGGGCCTTAGCATCCCTCAAATCAAAAATATTACCGTAGGACGGGCCCGACATACCACTA